AATATATATATATATTAAAATATTTTTTTATGAAACCTCCCGTCGTCACATCGTCCGAACAAAGGCCGTCTCCTCTACACGCACATTTTTAATCTTTTACATTAATTGAGTTGACCTAAAAGTTACCAAAATATTTCAATAATTATAAATATGAAATTCACATATTTTGGTTCCAAATGAATTAAATATATTCAGACGCTCTAAAGAAAAAATGATAGAAATTGATAGAACTTTACGTCACAAAAGTTACAAAAATTTGACAAAAATGGCCACAATTAGGACAAATACAGTTTTGATAATAAAAAAATTTATTCAAACAATGAAAATAAAATAGAGTTCATGATAAAACTTTTTTTAAAAAGCTTCCAGCCGCCGCTTCTCCAGCCGAGGCCTAAAAGCCTGACAGAAAAATTCAGGCCGTGAATCTCAGTCATCACCAGCATCACCATGACAGGGAAGACGAACCGTCATCAAGCTGCCGGCAGCCGTATCGCATGTCTCATGATACCAGATATCTGCATTGATACGTGTGAACAGGAGACGGAGTGAAGCTGTTTTATTCAGGCGATGACAGTAAGTGATGCACAAAGACGGGAAGATGGAGACAAAGGGGATGAAAAACAGCTAAAAGAAATCAAGACAGAAAGAAAGAAAACGTCCCAAAGACCAGAGAAGCTGCCTGACCTAAAATATAACTAAAGCTAAGGTATAGAGTTACACAAAAAAAAGGAATTTTTCATAAAGGTCTAATGTATGAAGAGAAAAATAAGTAGGTTAGCATACATTTTGAGAATATGTTAAAATTGTATATTCTAATCAAAGAAAAAAATGCAAAAAAAAAACAAAGACAATGAAGAACAAAGAGAGAAAGAGGAGAGGATCAGGACCAGACCTGATGACATGTCGATGACAAGCCGCTCTCCTATTGGCTGCCGCTCCACAGGTGTCTCCTGAGGATGACCTACGATGACCCGCCTTCTGCCAATCATCTCTATACAGAAAGAACTTTTTGTTTTCTTCAAAGTTTCCTTTTGAATCAAACCTGAATTAAATTTCTGCGGAACATAAATCATCAAAACCTTTACGACCGTCATATTTATCACAATTACCGATATTTTTCTATACTTTTAGTGTTATTTTTTTATGCTTCTCAATCTTTTACATTGATTAGTTTTTCTGCATAATTCCTCACATTGTTTTTTCTATTTTTTATGTTTCTTTATCAATAAACTCCTGTTTTAAAAAGAGAAAATGTTGTTTCCTGCTTCTTCATTCACCTTTTGTTCTTTCTTCCTTTCTGTAGGTGATTTGTGAGAAGATATTCAAGCCGTGGTTTTCTCCATCACTCCTCGGGGCAAAAGCAGGACTCCCACTGCAGGTAATATTCTTTAAAAGTGTATTAATAACGTTTTTTCAATTATTAATTTAATTCCGTGTTATTAAATAAAGAGAGAAGACAAATTTCTGTAGGTAACAAAAAAGAGAATATGATAAAAAAATGAAAACAAAAGATTTCTTTCTATCAAAAGTTTTTAAGTAATAGTAGAAATATCAATATAAATGTATATTACTTTATGTTTTAAAGTTTTATTATTAGATTGTGTTAACTAAACCTGATCTAATATTGATTTAGGGACATTATCAGCTGGAAAAGCAAAGCAACATTGTACCTTTAATTAATTTGTGATATCTAACAGTTGGGTTCATATTAGGTTATAATTAATAAATAATTGGACTTAATGAATGATGTATGAAGCAACCATATTAATAGAATATCTCAGAGTAAAATGAGTTCACATGTCAATGTCTGCAATTCAACCGAACCTCGGCGTCTGACCTCAGAGTCTTCAGTCGACTCTCTGGGGAAATCAACTCATTCCTGCCGCAGTGTTTCAGAGTCAGGCTGAGTTTTATCAGAGAGGAAAGGTTGAACTTCAGAGATGAGAAGAAAGACGTTCAGGTGAAATCTTGACTTCTTTTCCTCTTCATGGAGATCAGGCGAGCAGCGACAGACAGTCTGGAGAGGGGTTAGCCACAAGCAATCCTTTCCTGGAAACAATTGGGTCATTTTTCACCCAGTTTAGATCAGATACCGTCAGTTTGACCTTCAAGATTAAAATACACCAGCTGAGAACAAACAGGGTTAGCATTATCCGCCAGCTTTAGTAGCATCTTACAGACTGAAAAAGAAGATGCAGATTTTACCTTGCAGATACATTAAGATGCATACCAGGAAGATCTGGACACTCCTCATGTAAGGGTTGGTTTTGTTGGGCTAAATCTGGTTGGTCCGTCATAGTCTTGATCTTGATTCCCAAACCATTGTTGAATATTGGGCTGTCTTTGGTTGGTCTGCTTTTGTCCAACTTTAAACCAATAATAGACGTTGAAAAGACGTTACAAACCCATATTCCATCTTTGGAATGATCTGAAAATTAAAGCTTTTCACTTTTCAACCAAATATAGTCGTCGTTTGGACATAAATCATGTCGTCTTTACAATGTCTTTTCCACCACTTTTTGCTCAATGGGAGGAAAACCACAGGGGTCTGGTGAAGGAACTTTCTCAGGACCTTCACCTTTCAAAAAAACATCCATGTTTTAGGATCTAACCATAAGCAATGTTTCCCAGACAGACCTGATCCCACCGAGCTAAAATTGGTTTAAAAGACATTTAAAAGACGTCATGATTTACGACCAATCCACATCTACATTCGATTAAAAAGTGAAAATGTCAGGGCTCAGAACTGAGGACCCACAATTCAAAGCAAAGCGTTGGAT